TGTGAGGGGGGTCTGCGCTGGCCGCTGTGGTGACCCTGGCCAGGAGGACTTCCCCGGGGGGGACTTGGGGGTTGTGCTGACCGGGGCTGGGGGCCGAGACCAGGCTATGGCCAGGAGCCCCCACAAGTCCCTTGAAAAAGGGTCCCAGGACCATCGGGAAACACAGGGTGCCAGCTGATGACACCAGGGCTGCCCATCAGTCCCCACCTTCGGGCAGGAAAGTTTGCTCAGAAGGAGTGAGGAGGGGAGTCTCAGGGCCGGGGTCCGGCGCCCGCAGACATAGAACAAAGAGCAGTTTCCACTGGAACAGCACCACAGACTCCTCACAAAGCCCAAAATCATTACAGCATGGAGGGCTAACCTAGCCAGGGCCCAGCCGCCAGGACACCACGTGACAGCCAGCTGTCCCAGGAGGGCAGAGGTGGGCATGGAGGGGCCCCAGAAAACTACAGCAGTGAACAGTCACCAAGATGCCTGCTCTGGGGGGAAGCTGCACTCACCTGCCCAGGTGAGCACATCAGAGAGGCGTGGGCGTCCGGAGTTCAGCCCAGTTTGCTTAATAATTTATGTACTGAAGGCATTAGGAAGAGAGGGCACCAGAGAAAAAGCGATATCAAAGGGAGGGGGCATCACAGAGAGTGGGGGCATCAGAGAGAGAGGGGGCATCAGAGAGAGAGGGGGCATCAGAGAGGGGGCATCAGAGAGGGCATCTGCCGCCTGGACAGCCCTCCACAGGTGTCTGTGGAAGCACCACCACAGTGGGCCGGGCGGAGGCACCGTGAGCCTCTAGGCTCCCCGAGCAGGAGCACCCAGGGGCTGAGTACCCTGCTCCAAGGCCCTGAGGTCCTTCAGCAGGCCCCGAATTCAGTATCTGGCCCCTTTCCCAGAACCGCAAAGTGCTTGTTTACCTTCCAGTTCTTCCTGCATTTCATGGGAGTGAGCAAGGTGTGCGTGTTTGTTTTGGCCCAAAAGATGCCCTGCAAACACCGCCTAGGACAGGCTGACCGTGTCATCTGCAGACAGTGCCAAGCACTTTCCCAGTGCCTCGGCAGAGCTGTGCCCACAGGGGCTGCGGGCAGGAGTGGCAGGGAAGGCCAGGCTGATGTGACGACGCTGCGCACCTGCCCCGTCCCATGCTGGGTGGACTCTGACACCCACCCTGGAAGCCTCACCTGGCCTGGCCTTCAAAGGGCAGCGATTAGAGGGCACGGCGGGCCCTGGGTCCATCCACTCCCCAACTCCTGGGACCTCAGAATGTTAAGCTCAGCAGGGACAGTCTCAGCAGCCTGACTGGGGGCATCATAGTGAGAGGAGACGACTGTCCTGGATTACCCAGGTGAGCCCTAACTGCAACACCACACACACTCACAAGATGGCGGCAGAGGTTTCACACTCACACCCACCCATACACACACACATTCACACACACTTGCACACAATTCAAACACACACACATATATCCACACCTATCCTCCCTCCCACACTCTCCCTCCCACACACAGACTCACATCCACACACACTTGTACACACATTCACAGAAACACACCCTCACACTCACACTCCCCTTCACATGCACACTCTCATTCTCATTCACTGTCCATCTCTCACACACGCACACACTCACATTCACACACACACTTACACTCCCATGCACATTCAAACACACCCACACACACACAAGAGGAGAAGGCCATGTGAGCAGGGAGGCAGAGACTGGAGTGATGCGGTCACCAGCCAAGGGGCCCTGGCAGCCCCCATAAGCAGGGCGAGGCCAGGAGTGGATCAGCTCCTCCAGCCCTGCAGACACCTCGCCTTCACCCCTGTGACGTTGCACTTCTGGGCTCCAGACCTGTGAGCGGCGTAAATGGGTTGTTTTCAGCCACCAGGTATGAGGTGACTTGTCACAGCAGCCTCAGGAAACGAATACAGAAGCAGCCGCCGACCCAGCTGTGCAGGTCTAGACGCAGGCCAGACCCTCGGCCTGCCTGACCCCCAGCTGCTGCAGAGGCTTCGCCAGGCGTGGTCCCCAGAGCCAGTGTGGGGTGAGGGGCTGGCCCAGCCTGGGGTGACCACGGAAGCTCAGGAGAGGAGAGCCCATCCTTTGGCCCTGTCAGTGGTGAAACGGGGACACACTTCTCCGGGGAGCTGGGGGATGGATTTTTGGAATCCGAAATCTTGGGGCACATGAGAACGAGGGCCTGTCACCACCCTGCCGGCTTGTGGGAAATGGGAACAGATCCACCCCAGGCACCGTGAGCCAGAAGGGGGAGCGAGGCTATTTTGAAGACAAAGAATCCCTGGAGGCAGGTGCAAGGGGCCACTGGAGTGGCCAGGACCCCAAGCGCTGCTGGGGACCCACGGATGACCGCCTCCCCTCCTCTTGGCTTCCGCATCACCTCTCTTTCCCACAGTCAGTGTTCTGCAGTCCCCAGGCAGCGTGGGGAGAGGTGGCCCCAAAGTCAGCTCCCAAGATGCGTCCACTGTGATTGCTTGGGCCAAGGCGCCAGACCCTGCTCAGGAGAAGAACAAGCATCATGAGGATGTGGAGACACTGGGACCCTTGTGCGTTGTTGCTGGGAAGGCAACGTGGTGCCGCTGCTGTGGGAGAGATGGCAGATCCTCGCCAAATGACACATGCAAGTACCACAGGCTCCAGCCATTCTACCTGTCAGGAGCCACCCAGAAGAGCCAACAGCAGGGTTTCAAAGAGGCATTTGTACAGCCGTGTTCATGGCCGCGTTACAGCAGCAGTTAAAACACGCAAGCACCTATGCATCCACCCACAGGTGAAGCGAATGGGTGAAGAAAATGAGTAGTATCCTACCCTAAACAGGAAGGAAACCCTGAAGGTCGTGAATGAACCTTGAGGATATCATGCTAAGTGAAATAAGCCAGACATAAAAGACAAACACTGCCCGATTCCACTCACGAGGTGCTGGGCGTTGCCAAATTCAGAGACAGAAAGCAGAATGGTGGTGCCAGGGGCTGGGGGAGGGGGTGGGGAGTTGTTTCATGGGCTCAGAGTTTCAGTTTTACAGGAGGAAAAGAGTTCTGGAAATGGACTGTGGTGACGTTTGCACAACACCGTGAATCTGCTTAATGCTAATGGCACGTCCCCTTAAGATGGTGGAGATGGGGCGTGCAGGGCGGCTCACACCTGTAATCGCAGCACCTTGGGAGTCTGAGGCGGGAGGATTGCTTCAGGCCAGGATTTTCAGACCAGCGTGGTCAATAGAGTGAGACTCCATCTCTACAAAAAATAAAAATAAATCAAGCCAGGTGTGGTGGCTCACACCTGTAATCCCAGCACTTTGGGAGGCTGAGGCAAGAGTATTGCTTGAGGCTAGGAGTTCAAGACCAGTCTGGGCAACATAGTGAGACTTTGTCTCTACAAAAAGTAAGAAAATTAGCTGGATATAGTGGTGTGCACCTAGAGCCCTAGCTTCCTGGGAGGTGGAGGTGGGAGAAGCACTTGAGCCTGGGAGGTGGAGGCTGCAGGGAACCAACATCACATCCCTACACTCCAGCCTGGGCGACAGAGTGAGACTCTGTCTCAACAAGCAAACAAACAAAAAATCAAAATCCGCTGAGTGTGGTGGCTCTCACCTCTAGTCCCAGCTGCTTGGGAGTCTGAGGTGGGAGGATTGTGTGAGCTCAGGAGTTCGAGACCAGCCTGGGCAACATGGCAAGACAGTGTCTTTACCGCCACCAAAAAAGGAATTAATTTCAAAATTTTTTTAAAAAGAAAATGTATTTCCCATTAAAATTACTTCCATGATGACCAACAAAACACAACACAACCAAACTCCAGATTTATAATGCAAAAATCCCCCAAACAAAATAGTCAAGAAAAAGTGTAAGCGACACGCCTGTAATCCCAGCACTTTGGGAGGCCAAGGCAGGTGGATCACAAGGTCAGGAGATCAAGACCATCCTGGCTAACACGGTGAAACCCCATCTCTACTAAAAATACAAAAAATTAGCCGAGCGAGGTGGCCGCGCCCGTAGTCCCAGCTACTCGGGAGGCTGAGGCAGGAGAATGGTGTGAACCAGCGAGGCGGAGCTTGCAGTGAGCTGAGATCACACCTCTGCACTCCAGCCTGGGCGACAGAGTGAGACTCTGTCTCGGGGAAAAAAAAAAAAAAAAAGTGTAAATGAACAGAACAATGTGAATGCGTGCACCTGTTCATGACAGTTAGCAAGCCACACTGTCTGCAGGTGCGGAGGAGGCCGCAGTAGCTCCGGGTGGCTGAGGGATAAGACATGCTATCAGCCATGGCAAAGGAATCCCAGGACACTGCCTGAAGAGTCAGGTCTTCCCACCCAGGAGCCGGTTTACCATGCATGCCAGCTACGCTTTACAAAATAAAAGAGAGGCTTTGCACCAACGAATGCTGAGATCAGCCATGAACCAAAAAGTGAGTCACTCAATGCTCGATGCCTGGGGTCAAAAAATAGACGGGGAAAAAAAGGGCTAAAAGTAAATTAATGTATGTATCATTTACAAAACTTTTCAAAAAGTGTTTTGCTCTCCATCTGTCATACTTCTGCAGTGACAGACAAGTGAGGACATTGAGAGAGACTCTGGAATAAACCAGGCCCATCCACTGGTGTCCAGGCTAGTTTCGAAGACAGAAAAACGCCCCAGTTCTGTTTGCACGATGGCTGCCTGTGGCCCCGCCAGCGAGGTGGCCAGGCGTGAGGCCTGACCGTCTCTGGCGCCTCCACCTCGGCCTCCCCAAGCCCAGAAGGCACCCACGAGGACCCTCATTGCCTGACATTGCCACGGTCTGGGATCACCGACCTGTGCCGCCCGCGCACCTGCTCTGGCGCGAGGGAACCTCCGCCTTACCAGGGCCCAGCCCTGCAGTGAGGCCCATGGGGTCAGACCGCAAAGTGAAGGTGCGGGCCGGGTGGGCCTCGGGGAGACAAAGGCCAGGCCCGCCTGCTCGCAGAAGGCCCAGCTCTGGGTCCCAGCCCCTGCCAAGAGGAAGTACCCCAGGCAGGGAAGGGGTCACTGGCTTCCCAGGGCCCGCCGGCCGCAGCAGGAAGTTGGCCAGGGCTCGGCCATGAGCGGAGCGGGGAGGGCTTCTCCGGAGCATGGGCGAGGCCGGCCCTGGAGGGGCGAGGACCGGGTATATGAAGCCTCGTGGCCAGGCCCGGGCATCCGCAGGTCCCCAGCGCGCCCCGAGCCCCTGCGCCATGAAGCTCGCCGCCGCCCTCCTGGGGCTCTGCGTGGCCCTGTCCTGCGGCTCCGGTGAGCGCCCTGGGCTCCTGGCCCGCACGGTGGGGCCTGAGGCCACGGCGCCCGCTGTGCCCCGCCCCTGCCTGCGCGGATCCTGGATCCCAGGGTCCTTCCAGCCTCGCCCAGCGCCCGGAGGGCTCCGCCACCCCGCGGCCGGTCCCGGGGCCCCGCGCCTGCGCTCCCCGCGCCTGCAGCCCTAGGCCTCCCTCCTCTCAGGGCTCTCTCCAGCCTCCAGCCAGGACAGGGGCCGCCCGTGGCCTGGGGACGGCCGTCTGTCCCCTGTCTGGCCACCGTCCCCTCATCCTGCAAGGTGCAGCGCGAGTGTCCCCTCCTTGGGGGCCCGCCCTGGAGCCTGCACAGAGTTCACCGGTCCTCCGGCCACCCTCAGGCCACTCCGGTGTCCCTGCAGCGTGTCCTCGCGGGGCCGCCTCCCCAGGCCCCCTGTGTCCCGGGCTCGGCGCAGGACGGAGAGGGCGGTCAGGGAGCCGGGCAGGGCGCGACGGTTCCTGGGCGCCCTCCGCGGGGGCGCGTCCTGGGCCCGCCTTCTGGGGACCCCCGCGCGCAGGCGGTGACCCCTCCCTGTTTGCTTGCAGCTGCTGCTTTCTTTGTGGGTTCGGCCAAGCATGTGGCCCAGCCTGTCACTGAGCTGGAGTCGGGAGCAGAGGCCGCGGCCGGGACCCTGGCCAACCCCCTGGGCACCGCGGCCGACACCCTCGGCGCCCTCAACCCCCTTGGCACCCTCAACCTGCTGAAACTCCTGCTGGCAAGCCTGGGCATCCCCGTGAACCACCTCGTAGAGGGCTCCCAGAAGTGTGTGGCTGAGCTGGGCCCCGAGGCCATGGGGGCACTGAAGACCCTGCTGGTAACGTGGGCACCCCGGGAACCTTCCTGCACCGGCGTCCCTTCCCGGCCAGCCTCAAAATTGCACCAGGGGTGTCCAGGCCCTAGTCACGGCTGTTTCCTGTCCGGCCCTCCAAGCCCTGTCCCTGGGATAAGCCTGGGTCTCCCGGTGGGAACTGGGTGGGGCGCATCCGAGCTGCAGGGGCGGGGAAGGCCGAGGTGGCCCCGCGCGGGTGCGCGTCCCGGGAGACGCCAGCGGACCCGCCCCGCTCCCACTCCCGGCAGAGCCGGCCGCTGCCGCGCCCTCGCCTGAGTTCTTGGGGGCAGGGTTGGGGCCCTCAAGCTCGGCCTCTGCTTTCCAGGGGGTCCTGACGATGTTTGGCTGAGCCGACTGGAGCAGCTACACCTGAGGACAAGCCGCTGCCCATCCGCGGGGGCTGAAAACCCCACTGCGGGGCGGACCGTCCCGTCCCCTTCCCCGGCCCCTCTCAATAAACGTGGTTAAGAGCAGCCTGAGCCTGATATTTTCTCACCCAAATGCTGATGCCTGTGGGGGACCGAGGGTGCCAAGTCCCAGATTTTGTGAGGGAGGGAGAGAGGGAGAGAGGGAGGGTGCGAGAGTCTGCGGGTGGCACAGAGAGGGGGCCAGCGTCAGAGGTCAACTGGATTTGGAAGCAAAACGGAGGTCTTTCTTCCTGTTGAAGAAGGAATAAAATAACTAAATAACTAATTTAGAATAACTAATAATAAAGTAACTGTTGAAGAAGCATAAAAATTATCTACTCCTTGAAGACTGGCGAGAATGCAAACGCGCCAAACCCATTTGTTGCTAAAATTTGAAAGTTTTTATTTTTTTTCCCTCTGTAATTGTAGATTTCTTCCTCGGAAATGGGGAAGGAATGAGGGCTTCAGGAAATTCGCTGCTGGGCTTGTTTTCCCTGTGGTTTCTGCTGGTTTTGTTCACATAATCTAGCGGCTTTGATTCCTTCTGCTCTACCAGAGAGACCACCTTTTCTCCACTGATCCGAGTGCTGCTGGGAAGGTGCCCAGGGAACCCAGACATCCACGTCCATTTCAGGGGAAGCTTCCCAGTAAACTTCCTTGCCGGGAAAAATGACTCTGCTCCAGGTGGCTTGAGCAGGGCTTCTCCCCCCCACCATCGTGAATATTCACACAAGATTTAAAAAATTTTTTTGGTTGGGCACAGTGGCGCACACCTGTAATCCCAGTACTTTGAGAAGCCGAGGCAGGTGGATCACTTGAGTCCAGGAGTTTGAAACCGGCCTGGGCAACATGAGGAAACTCCGTCTCTACAAAAAATACAAAAACTGGGGGGGCGCGGTGGCTCATGCGTGTAATCCCAGCATTTTGGGAGGCTGAGGAGGGTGGGTCACGAGGTCAAGAGATCGAGACCATCCTCACCAACATGATGAAACCTCCTCTCTACTAAAAATACAAAAATTAGCTGGGCATGGTGGCTTGAGCCTGTAGTCCCAGCTACTCAGGAGGTAGAGGCAGAAGAATCACTTGAACCTGGGAGGCGGATATTGTAGTGAGCCAAGATGATAGCTGGGCGCAGTGGCTCACACCTGTAATCCCAGCACTTTGGGAGGCCGAGGTGGGCGGATCACTTGAGGTTGGGAGTTTGAGACCAACCCTGACCAACATGGGAAAACTCCATCTCTACTAAAAATACAAAATTAGCCGGGTGTAGTGGCACACGCCTGTAATCCCAGCTGCTCAGGAGACTGAGGCAGGAGAATTACTTGAACCCAGGAGGTGGAGGTTGCGGTGAGCTGGAGATTGCGCCACTGCACTCCAGCCTGGGCAACAAGAGTGAAACTCCATGTAAAAAAAAAACAAAACAAAACAAGATCGTGTCACTGCACTCCAGCCTGGTGACAGAGTGAGACTCCGTCTAAAACAAAACAAAACAAAAATACCAAAGTTTTCCGGGCATGGTGGCCTGTGCCTGTAATCCCAGCTACTCGGGAGGCTGAGGTGGGAGGATCACTTGAACCAGAGAGGTCAGGCTGCAGTGAGCCGTGATTGCACCACTGCACTCCAGCCTGGTCAGCAGAGAGATACCCCATCTCAAAATATATAAATAATACAGTAAAATAAAAAGTTTGGCCATTTTGATGAGTTTACAAGCAAACCACAACAGGGAAGAAGCCACCTGGATCCAGATGCCATGAAATCTCATCCACGCATTGCCCCCAAGGCCCCGCAGGGCTGTGAATCTTCACGGGGTGGGGAAGGCTTTGGTCTGGACAACAGTGAACCAAGAGTGAGAATCACAAGGTCATGGGGACACTGACCCCACCATGACCCCAGGCCCACCTCCCCCAGTACTATATATCCAGGCTTTTTGCAGGTTGTCTGCTAACAATTCCTTAACTAACTGGATTAAAACATCCAGGTAAATCATTATGGGAACACGGTAGAGCTTGTTGGAACTGACGGTGGGTGGGCTGTGGTACTACCCCGAGATGGCCCTGCTACCCTCCACCCCTGGAATCTTTCCAGGAAAACGACAGGGGGAAAGCAAAGTGCTTAGTAAAAAAGGGAAACTGCGAATACCAGTTGAAGTTCCAAGACCAGCTGCAATGTCTAGCTTCCTTCCTTCTGTAGATTCCTGGAGGAGAGACCAACATAACCCTGGAGGTGCTGGTCCCAAAGATACTGTTCGTCAGTGAGCAGGTATATGCAGACCTGCTCCCAAAGACCCAGGGAGCTAAGGGGCTGAAGAAAGAGTCTGACAAGTTCAGTTTCTCATAAATAAACATTTAATAGGGACTTAAAACCAGAAGCCACGTCTCGGGTGGACTTGTGGTGGTGCATCCCCCGCGGTCGACTCCCAGCCGCAGGGTGTGTATCACGGGGAAAAGGTACACATGCTTCAGCAGGGATGTGTGAGACAACAAAAGTCGACCCCTCAAAGGCAAGAGCGCTATGGCCAAAGTGCTGGGACTGAGGCATGACCTATGGCGCCCAGCCCAAGGATAAAATGTTTTAAAATGGTTACTATTTGAAAAATATTTTATATTGCCACAAAAGACCAAACGCAAATTCTTTAAAGCAGCCTCTAAAAGTGGAAGTTAGGACAACAAATAAACTTAACTTGGTTTCTAATGGGGGCCTAACCACCAAGGAACTATTCTAAGTAATGTAAAAATGTAGTAATTTAATTTACGCCCTGGGATGGGTCCACCCCAAGGACAAGAGGAACTGTGAAAATAATTTTAAACTTCTCTTATTGGCGGCATTGCTCTACTGAGGCCCTTCTGTGCATATTCTGTGACAACTCAGATGTGTAATCAAGTTACCGTCATTGAAGTCAGATTTCTGGCAAAGTTAAAAGAAGATGCTGATGATGTAAGAGTAAGTAAAACCTTAAGGCTCGAGATCACACTTGGAAGTATAATTGTAAATGCCTGATGTTTTTAGACGTGGAGTCTCACTCTGTCACCCAGGCTGGAGTGTAATGATGCGATCACAGCTCACCGCAGCCTTGAACTCCTGGGCTCAGGTGATCCTCCCACCTCAGCCTCCCAAGTAGCTGGTACTATAGGTCTGAACCACTGTACCCAGCTTTTTTTTTTTTTTTTTTTTTTTTTTTTAAATTTATGGCTGGCATGGTGGCTAAACCCAGCACTTTGGGAGGTCGAGGCAGGAGGATCCCTTGAGCCCAGGAGTTCAAGATCACCCTTGAACAAGGGCAACAAGGTAAGACTTTGTACAGAATATTTTAAAAATTAGCTGGGTGTGGTGGCGCATGTCTGTAGTCCCAGCTACTTGGGAGGCTTAGGTGAGAGGATCACTTGAGCCCAGAAAGCGAGCTGTGATTGTGCCACTGTACTCCAGCCTGGGTGACAGAGTGAGACTCCTTCTCTGGGTGACAAAGCAAGCCCCTGTCCCACCCCCCCCAAAAAAAAAACACCCCAGCATTAACAGGAGTTTGGAAGAAGCTGATTCCAGTCTAATGGATAACCAAGGGGTTCAAGGCTTCAGGTAGTAACTGCAGATGTGGTAGAAATAACAAGAGAACTTGAATCAGAAGTGAATCCTGACTGAAGATGTGGCTGCACTGCTGCAACCGCATGATAAAACTTGAACAGGTGAGGAGTGGAGTGAGGAGTTACTCCTTATGGATGAGCAAAGAAAGTGGTTTATTGAGATGGAATCTCCTCCCAGTGAAGAGGCTGCGAACTTCACTGAAATGACCACATAGGAGGTTTTTAGAAGAGTACACAAACTTAGTTGACAAAGCAGCAGCCGGTTTTGAGGGGATTAACTCCAATTTTGAAAGAAGTTCTACTGTGAGTAAAATTCTATCAAACAGCATTGCATGCAACATAGAGAAATCTTTTGTGAAAGGAAGAGTCAATGCTGCAAACTTCATTGTCTTATTTTAAGAAGTTGCCACAGCCGCCCCAACTTTCTGCAACCACCACCCTGATCAGTCAGCAGCCATCAACATTGAGACAAGATCCTCTACCAGCAAAACGATTATCACTCACTGAAGGCTCAGATTTGTAGGCAATAAAGTATTTTAAAATTAAGGCATGTTCCTTAAGACATAAAGCTATTGCATACTGAATAGACCACACTATCGTGTAAACATAACTTTTACATGCACTGAGAAACCAAAAAGTTCACAACTTGCTTTACTGCAGTGGCCAGAAACAAAGCCCTCAATATCTCTGAGGTACGCCTGAATTCAGCTGTCCCAGCACTCTTCATTGAGGATGCTATGAGATATCTTGGCAAGTTTGTCACAGATCAATTGACCAGAAATGTAAGGGCTTATTTCTTGGGATTTAAATTCTATTCTATTGACCAATATGCTATCCTTATGCTAGAACCACACTGTCTTGATTACTGTAGCTTTGTAATTAGTTTTAAAATCAGGATGTTTTAGTCCTCCAACTTTGACCCTCTTCAAGACTGTTTGGCTATTTTGGAGGTCCCTTGGATTTCCATATGACTTTAAAGATTAGATTGTCAATTTCTGCAACAAACAAAAAGTCAGCTGGGATTCTGATAGAGACTGCATTGAATCTGTAGATCAATTTAGGGAATATTGCCATCTTAATATTATCCTCCAGTCCAAGAACATGAATTCCTTGCTTTCTTGGGAGAAAGTCTTAGTCTTTCACCATTAACTATAATATCAACTGTAGGTTCAGATTGAGGAAGTTCTCGGTTTTTTGTTTTTGAATGGAGAGTAAGTTTTGTCAATGATCCTATGCTTTTGTCCTTTATTTTACTGATACAATGCATCACATTAATTGGATAAATCCCACTTGGTCATGGTGCAAAATCCTTTTTTATATGTTGCTGAATCCTATTTTGCTAGTATGTTTTTGAGGATTTTTGGATCTATATTTAAGTGATTGGTATGTAGTTTTCTTTGAGATATCTTTGTCTGGTTTTGATATCAGGGTAATACTGACCTCATAGAAAGAGTTAAAAAGTGTTCCCTCTTCTACTTTTTGAAGTTTGTG